TCCAAAGCTGCCCGGCGTCCACGTTTCCTCCGTAGAAAGCCTTGACAGAACGTGAAAAACGTGTCAGACCTTGATCAGAACGTGAGAAACGTGAGGGACCCCATCAGAACGTGACGGGCCGGGAGGGAACGTACTGGCATCCGTGGTAGACCGCGGGCCGAACCGTAGTGCGCCTTGGAGCCTCCGGGACTCAGCCTCTTTCCCCCCCCCCACGGCCCGTCACGGATACCGTGATACACCGTGAGAAAACTTGGCAAGACCTGAAACAGACTTGAATACAGAGAAAAAATGGCCAAAATCCCACTGCGCCCTACGTTTCGGGCAAATGGCGCTGCCGTCGCCGCCGGAAACATAATGTAAACCTAGCATAACCTATTTTCCAAATGGATTTTTTGTAAATGAATTAAGCCATTCTTTGCATTCATACGCTAGAGATATTGTGCTCGCTTTTATTCTGCGTAGTAACAGCTTCAATAACAAACTAATATTGTAGCTTTTAATTTTAACGTAAAATTTAATTTCATTGTATACAATTAATAAACTGCCTCGAAATACGAAACTCTAACTGCATGCAAGATTTCACATTTTCTACTTTAATGAAACTTCTCTACATAAAACCATTTATCCAAATGTATAATGCTGACTATCGACATAAGAGAATTGATCATTAGCCTTATCTACTAATAGTAATTCTTCAGAGTCCATAGGACTATAATGAAGGCAGAGTTAATTTGACGTCGATCAGATTGCTAGATCGACACTTCAAACAACAGCAGAGAAGAATTCTAAGTCGCTGTTTACTATAGATAAACAGGAACGAGTTCAAGTAAGGAATTACCGAAACAAAGAAACGCAATTTGAAGAGGAAATTTGAGCATGATAGTGGGGGAGAGGTGATAATTTCATCAAACAAGATGTGAAAGCATTTTTACCGTGGCTTCAGCGGCCAAGGACTTGGTTTTAGTGCCAACAGAGCAGGACGTTGGCATAGCATACCCAAGGAGTAAGTGACATTTTGAAAAAATGTAATTGACCTGGGTTTTCCAGAAGGGTCACTGCTTATAATAACACCCAAATATTTGTACGTCGGAGTAAGTGATAGGTATTTAGTCATAGGTGATAAGATAAAGTGAGTAGGTAAAGGTTAGTGTGATTTAGAACGGATAATGCGTAGAATTTATCAGGGTTGAAGGTCAAGCGTCAGGTTGAAGCCCATTGTTGAACACGAATAAGGGTACTCAGCAGGGCTACTAAGTCATCCAAACAGTAAAGAACTGCATCAGCGGCGAAAAGGCACATAGAAGCGAAGTTATCGGTTTCACTTAATAGGTCATTTATAACTGCTAAGAATAGTAGTGGGCCAAGCACGGAACCCGGGGTACGCCTGATGTACCCACAACCACATTGGCATTCATGCCATTGACACAAACAATTCGGGATTTATCCTTAGGGAAGTCAGTAATCCAGGTTAAGGTATAATATCCAATCGCATAGGAATTAGTTTAAGGATCAGACAGTCATAGAGACCTTGTTGAAAGAAGTCCAAACACACAGCAGCGATCTGTTGAGACTTGTCGAGATTTAATGTCCAGCGACGAAGGACGCTTATTAAATTGACTACGTCACGAATTTTCGATGGTAAAATTTTTAAAATTTTTGTTGCCATTTTTTTACATTAAAAGTAAGAACTAACGGGACTAAACGTATTGTTAAATTCTTACCAGATAAGATTGTTTCTCAACTAATTAAAAATCCAAAAAACCCTGGACGATTTGATATTATGTTCCTGACATTAATTGCTTGCTATGGGCTATGTATGAGTCACGAGTGTATGTTCACATCGAACATTATAGTAAAATAGGAAGTATAATGCAGCAATTTAACCATAAAAAGTGAACAGAATTACTTATGTTTTGTGAAAAAGTGGAAATATTTTTTTATTTTTAGTATTTACGGTGTCGGTGACGTAATCACTTTAACTTAAAAAATGGAGTAGCTGAGTAGCAGGGGAGAAACTGAGGAGGGAGTTATGTTTATGGTGAGAGAGAATCTCGTGTAAGTCTAAGTGGCTCATTACAGAGGAATAGATTATATCAAGAGCGCATTAACCCCGCTGAGGGGTTAATGCGCTCTTGATTATATGCTCGAAAGCTTTAGAAATTAGAGCAAAGAGATGACAGAGATATTGGCCGGTACCTGAACAGGAGGGAATACCACCACCTGTGTACACTGGGTGATGAATGCCTGTCCCCCGTAAGTGTTCTAAGGATGACTAACCTCGTGTGAATTGCCGCTCGGATATTTTGTGCACGGTGTGTATGTATTTTGGTGCATGCAAAACATCCCCGCATCACTATTTGGTATTAGTGGGATTCGAGGACGTAACTTAAAAACTGCGCCCAGCTGCCTGGTGGGGATGGGATCGACAAGGCCTCCCTTTCCAAGCATTTGTGTTCGCGCTAACCATGATTGCTGTACAGGCCTCAGGCGTTCACTCGACGGTGTGTATGATTCTATACCGAGATTGTATTTGATACCTTAAACGTGTGTGTTGTGGCGAGTATTCTCTAATTCAATGGACATTGGGAGATTGTAGCTATGTACCCTTCTCAGCTTCCCAACTTGGCTCGCAACCAACACCTAGCGATCATGACTTCACCAGATGTACAGGATGTACGTGATTATGATTTAAAGTAATTCTAAAATTCAGGTATAGAATAGCCGTAGGACATGAGGGGTGATAGCACAAGCCTGGATGCTATATTTAGGCTAGCGTGATCCCAGTGTCTTGTCTTAACTATTTATAAATGTTTCATCGTGAACTGGATCTCTAGTCTAAACATTTCTTGGTATTTTTTTATTTTGACGAGTAGGTTATTATAGGTGTTGACGTTAACATTTATATGTACACCTTTTCCGGGCAATCAAGTTTGTTGCCAGAAAAGCGAAAGTAATCTTACACTACAGTGGTAAATTTAGAAAAGAATTTTATGTAGAGATTGATGACATGACTATAGTGCTCTAATAATATATATTTTTCATATTCAGTATGGTATCACTCACTCCATTTTGCCGTGAGCCAACATTTAAAAGTTCAAAAGTCAAACGTTGTTTTCCTGGAGCTCTTGATATTTGTACATGCTGTTTAGGTGTGCTGTGTTGGTAGAGGCAGATTAGTCAATAGTGTTCTGATTAATTGAGTTCTTCAAGCGATGAAACTTTTAAGCGTTTTAATTGAGCAAATGTCATAATCACATATTCTCTGTTGTCAGGCCACTTAGTCCTGTGAAAATTGCATTTCTTTTGAATGGCGCAAACGTCATTGCTAGTTTCAAATCTACTCCGTGAATGATTTCCAGTTAGTTTCGTCACCAGTGACATATTGCAGATTGAACTTTATCAGTGTTTTTCTTTGTATATGATAAGCGAAGTGACCCTGCTCATTCCTTCGTCCGCCTCGCTCAATATTTGCATAAATTGCTGCCTCACTCTGAATTCGCAGGTTGTTATCTGGCCAGCATTCCCCATTCCCGGCACACCAGTGCATTGATCAGGCCTGCCACACATCGTAGCAAGCACCCAGGTGCGTGGCACCTCACCCCCCACCCCACCCTCACCCACAATACTAAATCATTAAGCTGTGGTCTGCAGGCGGCTAATGACAACTGTTTGTGAGTGATGCTGCGAGAGATATCGTCACAAAATGTGCCCTCGTTAGAAATCTTAAGAGATCTTAAAAATTAATCTTTGAAAGAGAGGAGTGAAAATTAGAAAGAGCATTTGTCGAAATACTTTCAGTTCACATAATCATATCGTGAATTGCATTGCATTGCACAGAGTGATTGCATTAACGCCAGTGCCATCATATTCATGTGTGCTGATTTATAATTATTCTTCGTATTTTTTCCCCTAGCAAATGGAGCAGAGATCCAAGAAGCCCTTTTTGAAATAACCGGACACCGTACCGTGCCAAACGTATTCATAAACGGGAAACATCTTGGTGAGTAAGGGTAGACAGGCTTAGACAGTACGTGTGTGTGGCAGGTTGGACTTGATGCATGTACCAGAATGACATTTTTGGCATTTTAGTGTATATATATATATTTAAATAGAAGTGATACTAGAAGAGATCTCTATTCATGAACTCCTGATAATACAGGATGCTAAATAGATTCATGGAACTAAATTGAGGAATCAATGTATCACGAAGCCAGTGGACACGCAAGCCAATAAATTCTTTACTATGTATCACATGATCATCGCTATAGAGACACGATCAGTTGAACGTTACTAGTTGCTACTAGTTGTTAGTCAAGCGGACAAATATAAATGCTTGCCTAAGTAAAAGGCAGCCTTATTCAGTGCAGAAGTACAATCCATGTCAGGCTTCACGAAAAACCATATATTTTGCAGGAATATTTTTGGAATATAGAGTAATGAATTCTACACTGGGTCAGACAACGTCTAGACGCCATTCGTTTCCAGTGTTAACATTTCGTAATTTTAAAATTAAAAACCTTTAGTTAATGGCCAGTTGCGTTATAGTTTAATATGCGTTTTTAACAGCAGGAGCCCGTCAGGCAAGGAAGCTTGCAGTGGTTACATCCGAGATTTCTACACGTCTCGGGCGTCGGACGCTCGGCTAAATTCGAAGACTGCCATGTGTTGTTTTATGTTGACAGGGGGCGCTGAGACGACAGTGAGAACCCACGAACAGGGCCGGCTATTGAGTATGATCATGCCACCCACACAGCAGTATGACTACGACCTGTGTGTGATCGGTGGTGGGTCTGGAGGCCTGGCTGCTGCTAAGGTATCGTTGTTATCCAGCCAGTGTCGTCCACGTCTTTTTATACAATCTTGTGATGCTCGGTGCACCATAGCCTGACCTGTTGTCTGTGTGCTGTGCGTGTGTGCGTGCGTACGTGCGTGCGTGTACTTTCGTGCGTGCGTGCGTGCGTGCGTACGTCCATACGTGTACTAACTTGCGTGTGTGTTTATGTGTGTGGTGTGGGTGGAGAGGGGTGGGAGCGATCGGGCTACACACTACAGAAATAATAATTAAATATATATCAAAATTTTAAATCTGCGTTGTTTGACTTCCAGCAAGCGGCAAAACTGGGGAAGAAGGTAGTTCTATTGGACTTCGTGAAGCCCTCACCTAAAGGCACAACTTGGGGTAAGTCATGTTCAGTCTACATCCTGGTCATCACATCTCTCTCACACCTCTGCTATCATCTGCGTAGAGTATATTTTGGCTGTAGAAAATACTGCATTGTTGTTGGAAATAATTTAGATGCATTCGTTCAGATCATGCCATGAAACATAAATCAATGTTGTCTGATGAGTGGTGCTGCCCTCTAGCTAAACACTGGTTCTTACTACTGATCACAAACCTGATAAAGGAGACTGCTCTGGAACAAATGGCAGAGGATACTATATAAGGGAAAATAGGGGGAAATTTCTTTTTTTCTGCCAGTATGTGTCATTGGCATTTAATTTGTTTACAACAGCTTTTGTAGAAAAAAATTACTCCCTGATGTTTTCAGAATCTTTATTAACTTTTCAATTTATTTGTGAGGATTGTGATTATGAATTGGAAAAACAACAGTTAAGGAAGAGGGTTATGAAATGTTTAAGGCAATGTTTGAGTTTCTGTTTATTGAGTTATGCCTTGTAAATTATAGATAGACTAAACCTAGTGTGCTGTGTTGAATCATCCTTGTTGTCCTGGTGTCCTGTCACACCGCTTACAGTTATCCTTGGTAATAATATTATTTGCTAGACTTATAGTTATATTGCTAGAGTTTTGTAGACTGAGCAAACGCACGTTTTCTGGGTCCACAAAACGAAACTCCATGTTTTGCTTGCAGCCATGCAGTAATTGTATGTTGTTGCAATACTATTAGTTAGAGAGTTATTAGATGTGTAATACGTTATTAATTAATAATGATTAGCTTCAATTATTCACGCACGTGAGCTTGATTATTTAAATTTATCCTATCACTGCCGTCAGGTGTGTGCGTGTGTGCGTTGAGCGTCGTGTGCGTGTGTGCGTTGAGCGTCGCGTACGTGATCTGATATCTTCCACTGATCTGATCGAATTAATCTGATGGGATCACCTGGTGTACGTCAAAGGTGCTTAATTTGTCGAATGATTACTGTGGGTGCAGCTGAGATTGTCACCAGTGGCAGCCAGACATTGATTTGTGTTGCTGTCATAGCGCCACATGGTCTCCTGGGATGCATGAAAGTCACATGCCCTCCATACTGTACGCTCGTTAATTTCTCACACGCTTTCTGTAGGTGCGTGGACACCATGCTTTGCCAGCGTGAGCCACTCGCAGAGATGCCAACCACTACGATTTTCCGTATTTTATACGAATTTCTATTCCTTTTGCACCACTACGACGAGTTTGTATCAAACTACGAATTTCACTGTGATCGAAATTTTTTTTGTTCTTGTCAATTTATTGTCATTTTTGACCCTCAGAATGCAGGAAATTGCATCTCAGAATCAAAATTTTTTTCCGGGTGGCATGCCGGACCCCCCTAGCAAACTCGGGTCACTACGCGACCCTCGAACTACTAATTTGATGACCAGAAACTACAGATTGCTTCAAATATGTGTTGGCATCTCTGCAGTGTCTGCACTCGTTGATTGCCTTAGCAGAATTTTCTCTGATCACTTGGCGGTTGACGTTGCAGGTCTAGGAGGGACGTGCGTCAACGTGGGATGCATACCGAAGAAGCTGATGCATCAGGCGTCGTTGCTGGGAGAGAGCCTGGTCGATGCAAAGCACTTCGGCTGGCAAGTGAACAAGTCCGAGGGTGCGTATCTCTTATCTAGCATCACTAGCCTCCAAACCTAACTCTTGCATTTTTGTCCCGCGAAGTCTGCGTCACGATACAGCAGGCGGGCGCTTCATAAAGATACATTTTTATTAGAAAGATTTTTGCAGCTTATCATGTGCATATTTATACATATATATATATGGGGTTCCATTCGAGACCTTTGCAGTGAAAGTAATCTTTCAGCAATAGTAAGAAATTGGCGCACGCACGCACGCACGCACGCACGCACGCACGCACGCAAAGCTATTTCAAGTTCTAGCTGAGGCCAGGGTGATGCAGGTGCATTACAGATCCTTGCCATGTTGGTCAGTTCACCCTCATTGCCTCTAAAAGGAAATAGGACATTTATGTCTCAGCTTGGCCCGTGTATACATCTATAAAGTGCCGGTGTTGCTCTCAGCTTATAATAAGTGTGGGTGTGCGTGCGTGCGTGCGTGCGTGCGTGCGTGCGTGCGTGCGTGCGTGCGTGC